GGGGGGGGTTTGAGGGGTGAGGAGGGAGTTTTGTCATTGTTAGAAAATATGGCATCTTCTAAGGACTAGTACAAGGGATGTAACTGTGCAGAACCTAGTACGTTTAGTCTCGATAATGTTCAGATTGTTTCCCTTCGTTTTAAGACGGCTGAAAATCAATGTAAGATTAATTTGCTAATTAACCCAATTAATATTAACCTAATTAACTGCAATGTCAATGGACATCCTTCTCATGTTATCCTTCTCCCCGTCATGCATGATATAGAGATTAAATGTGAGGCAGCGTGGTGTAATCAGGCTCTCGGCAATGTTGGGGCATATTGAGTTATGGGTATCATTTTAAAGCTTGTTCACTTGTCTTTATTTGGATTTTAAAAAATATCCATTTATCTTGAATACAAATCGAGATATTTGCGAATGAAGGAGGTGAGGGTCACCTGTTTTCAGAGGTAAAATTAGTGAGGAAATGACAGCCAAAGATTAGTTATTACCTTATCTTAAGAGTACGTGGTAACTGAAAATTTACATTGTTTGTACCTTTAATCTATATTTTAAAGAAAAATCCTCACAGAAATGAGTTTTTTAATGGGCATGAAAGGTGTTGAGCCAAAAAACAAAAATTTGGTCAATATTAGCCAACCTTTGGAAAAATGCAAGTTTCTTCACTTTGATTATTTTGACGAGAGCCTGGTTCCACCACGCTGTCTCACAAATGATTAACGATTGAAAGCTCAACTGGTTCACGAATTGATTAATTACCGTAAGAACAAACGCAAATGTTTCTTTTTCACCAAGGACTTTCCACTTAAATGCGACTGAATTACAAATCGATTGTTTAAAAAAAAAAGAAACTCGTTTAACCAATCATTGACTACAAATTGACTTATAGATTGGTTTAATTTGTTCGTTATAACGGCTAATTGAATGATGGACTGATATAACTGTTGTCTAATTGTTAACTGACTAATTATTGGTTGAGCGAATATTGGACTGATGCTTGACATACCGTTTGATTAATAGATTATCTGATTATAATTCAGTTCATTGACTCAGTGATTCAATAACTGACTGCTTGATGTATCCTATC